TTCTCTTTGTGAGTGCAAACCTCCACGATCTCTTAGTGAGTTCGTAGGAGAAGCTAGATCTCTTTGTGAGTTCTAGGTTTTCTTGTTCTAATAGTTTTGTTTTCTTTCTTTCTCTTGAGCGATTCGTCGTCGTGGAGATTCGGTTGAAGAACTTGTGGAAAATTGGATTCTTGCTCCTTGGATCCCTCAAAATTCTCCCTAAGATCTTTCCTCCCTTGCTCCCTACCGCCGGCCCTCCTGGACAGCCCAGGCCGTCGGCCTGCATCCCCTCAACCCGCCGGCCAGCCAGCCGCCCGCAGATCCCTTTGCCACCGGCCACCTTGAGCCCTTGCCGCCGACTTCCCCCCTTTAGCCCTCCTTGCAATTTGACCAGCCCGCCAGCTCCCTTTGCCGCCGGCCACCCTGAGCCCTTGCCGCCGACTTCCCCCCTTTAGCCCTCCTTGCAATTTGAATTTCCCTCCCTTAATGACCTTCCTAATTGAGTCCCTTAAATTAGGGAATTAATTAAGAGGAGTTACAATCTTTTGAAATTCAAATTCCCTCCTAATTTTACTTAAATTAGGGAGTTACATGATATAATTAAAAATCTGAAATCTAATTTCAGATTTTGATTAATTACATGTGAACCCCACCTACTTAAATCTCCAATCTCCCCCTCCCTATTTTGAAATTTAAACTTTAATTTCAAAATAAATCCCTCCAATTTCACTTAAAACTAAAAATTATTTTAGTTTTCACAAACCCTAGCCCACCTATGATGCCGCCGGCCCCTATTCTCCCTCTCTCATTGAATGTGCCATAATTCCCCTTTAATTTGGGAATTCAAAATTTAAATCTCAAATATTTTTCCTCTCTAATCCCTTAAACTGAAACTAATTTCAGTTTTTCTAATTAACCCTCACCCTCTCTCCCTATCTCTACCGCCGGCCTCTCCTTCCCCCTGCTAAACCCGCCGACCGCCCTCCTCCCTCTTTTCTTCCCATTGTTGGGTTGCTTGTGGGGATTGCTCGTCTTCAAATCCATGGTGGATGTCGGATCCAGCCGTTGATCACGGGCTCTTCTATGATATCTACGGAGATCTCCACGTCTTAAGATCTCCTTTCTTCGACGTGGGATTCGGCTTCGACAATACCGTCGAAGATTACTTGGATCAAATTTTGCCGACACTAGTGGACGCCTTCGACGACCAATTCTCCGACTACACGTGGATCATCGAAAGTCATCCGCCCGCTTCTCCAACTCCGCTTCTTTCCCGGCGACGAGTCCTCTCGGCATCACATGTGCCTTAGTGGTATCGCTAAGTTTTCTTGCGACCCTCTTCCGCTAACCTCCACATCAAAGAGAGATTGACGGACACCAAGGTGAATGGTCTAAATTTTAAACGTGTGGCTTTAGTAATAGCTATTTGCATTATTTAGTTATCTTTTGGTTATCTTTTGCAAGACTCTTGTAATCCTCAAGTGTAATCGATGCCTATCGCTTAATCTATAACGAATTTTTCTTGAATCCTACTTGAGTAAGCTATATTTTATTGTTAAAGTTGCAAAGTCAAAGCTTTCACTAATCTCTAAAGTGCAATTCATGTTTCCCCATGTTTGTTTCACATCAATAACAGGATTTGATTTCAATGGGAAGTCTAAGATTTTTTCTAAATATTATGCGTATGCCTAATATGATAGTGGAGCACCATGCATAGTAGTAGAAGGAAGGATTTTAACATTTGTTTTCACCCTTTTTGCCTTTTAGTTTAATTTTTTCAAATTTTTTATGAACCTTGAATTATTCAGAGTAATTATGCTAAAATATTTTATGGGAGTAACAATAGGACAAGATAACTTCAAATTTTATATTATGTTAATATTTATAAGATGTGCAACCAATCTACACTTTCTTTTTAAGCGAAGTAGTAACATTTGATTCAGTAACAATGGTAAGTAAATAAGAAATGTGTATGCTTTTAAATAAAAAAACCCAAAATTTATGAAAAAGAGATGTCTATGATATTTCCTGAATACTTTTTAAAATCCAACAATCTAAAATTTGTGCTCTCAATTTTAAGTGTTTAGAATTAATCTAATCACTCATGGATAAAAGATTTTAGAAGTTAAGCTAGGTTTTAAATTATTCGAAAGAAAAAATTTCTCATTGAAACGTCTCTTATTAACTTAGGCAATGGTCAAGACGCTACAAAATCGATTCATGATTAGATCTGCATCTCCTCATAAAATAACAGATTAAATATACATTTCTTCATAAAATAATAGATTATATCTGCAACTCTTTATACATCTCTTGTATTCTTAAATACTCCAAAGTAGCAACTAATGTTTTCTCATAATTAAATCATCTTCGTTTTATGCTGGTTTCATTTAGATGTCCAAAATTCCTTAAATTTCTATTTATTTTTATTATCATTTTTATTGTCTTATATTCTTGCTCTTAAATTATAAACATCAGTGGAAGATTGTATGTCTGCAAGTTGCAGAATGATGAGCGTATGAGTGGGAGGAGGCGATTAAGCAAATGTGGTCGAAACTTAAGCTATTAGGCTATTAGGTAATTAGGTGTCTCAGCTATAAATAAAAAAAGAACGAAGATTTGTGAGCGAGTTGGAGAAGGCAGAATTTCAGGAGATAGGTGGGTCTATTATGGCCAAACCTCCCATCTACAATCCACCCCTGGCCACAATATTCGCCATGCAGTCAAATTATTAGGATACAACGGTATGTAAAATTCCTTAAATGGATTTGTAAATAGAGATCCAAATTAACTTAGATATGCCTTGTATCGAATTAGTCCGTCTATGTTGAACAACCAAATAGAGATGTTTAAACAAACAAAAAGTAACAACTTAGATAAAATAAAATAAAATAAACTAACTAATGAAATCAAATAAATTTTACTAAAATCTTTGCTTAATAAGAATATGAATAAACATACAGATATCTATCAGTCCTACTAGGTTACTGGCTATGCAATTTTTCATTATGATAGTACAGGTATTGCATCACATAAGTATGGCCCATGTTTGACCTAGTTCCTCTATTCTGTCACGTTTGTACTATTTTGGATTGTGATATGCCATGTTTAGTTGGTGGAGTAAAGTAGACAATTGTTTTGTAAAATCAATGCTATATTTAGTAACATATGAAATTTTTTTTATCATTTATATAAACCTAATTTCATATCGCAATCATTGAAAAATACATAACTAATCCATATTATATAACTAATTACATGTTTTGTCATAAATACTAATAAATGTTCTATTTGATTTATTATTAGGCTAATCTTTTGAAATTATGTAAAATAAAAGTTAAAAATATTTTTATAAATAGCATATTGTTTTATATTAACTGACCTATATATTATATATTCTAGAAGACATTATGATTTAATCTTAAGCTTTGATGTCAAATTTGATGTAGGACATGTTTGGTTCTAGAATTTTTAATGCAAATATATTATGAGATGCATAAAATCATATAACGAACACTTAAAATTCTGCATGAACTCATCATAAAATAACTTTTGGTTTTATCATCTCTGCATGAACTCATCATAAAAGAAGTACTGACCAGCACATTATGAGAATTCAATGCAGTGACAATGAATTAAACAAACATGGACCAAGCAGGATAAGTTTTAGGTCCGTATGAAATTAGGGGTTTAGAATTCAAAGCAGTTACTATCAACTGAATAAGCATGGACCATGCAGAACAAGTTTTAGGTCCCTCTTCACCATGAATCTGATCAGCTTTTCTATACTATAATTTTGTTGCTTGTGTTATTGGCCTCAATACCCTTGTTTCCCTCCTTTTATAGATGTAGTCGATTGCCTTTATCTTTATGAATAATATTATCAATTGTATGAACTCATACTTGTCAATTTGATTTTATTATCAGGTTCTGCTGAATGATTTTGGTCTAATCAATTGTTATTTAATATTTTTTTGTATTCTTTTTTTCAATTATCTTGCAAATGCAAGTTCTGCAGTGTTTGCAGCCTTCACTATTAAGTTGGCACAAATTTTTATGCTGTGAATTTTTTTTTCCTTTTTTTTTTCCTTCTTTTTTGAGATTTCAGAAGGTCGGCGTGTAATGCTTATCATTCTTATCTCAGGGACAGGATATTGGTTTTCATGTGGAGTATGTTAATCCGTCTGGGAATGTTACAGTAAGTTTCTTCACTACAAACTAATTTTTAAAGATAAATAGCATTTCTTTTCTATTTCCTGAATCTATTAGCCTTTGAATTGTGTTTTCTTTGCTGTAAACTTTTTATTCACTTCCCCTTATGTGGTCTTCATTTTTTTTCCAGCTGATATTACCTTACCGGCGCTATGATTCTGACCAAGTAAGTTCTACCGTTGTTACCTTAAAGTATTTAAAAAAAAAATAATTAACATTTTTTTCTTTTTCTTTTCCCATTTTCTATTGTTTACAGGGAAACTTTTGCACAATCTTGACTGGATCATACAAACTTGTCTGGGACAATTCTTATTCAACATTTCTGAAAAAGGTACTTAGCTTTAGCCACTTTCTTTGTGTTATATGGATGCTGATTTCTTCCTGCCAAATTGCATATACAATAGTCACACACTTTATGCTACTTCAATTTATCCTACGTGCCTGCACGTTCAAAAACTTTCTTTTGCAAAAGCTATTTTTTGTGCTATATTACAATTCAAATAACTGCGAAACTGTCCCAAATTCCATACAAAGCAATCTACTCCAAACAACTGATGAACAAGCGTTACAAGACCTGTTTTTGAGCCGTTCAATGAATTCTGACATGATTTTTTAATGACCTATACATTGCCGGAACCAAAAAGCTGGAGATGTTTTTATATAAACTCATAAACTGTATGTGGTAGCAATTTAGTTCACTTGGTAAAGATTTGTCAAAATTATTGTGGGTTCAAATCCTGCTTGCTCTAATAAATCTCCACTTCTTAGGTTGAAAAAAACTTGTGAACAGCCAGTTGGCAGGTTTTTTTCTTGAGCCTTAGCTCCAACCATATATATGAATATGTTTATGTTTTGATTTAAGAGACAATTTAATATTTTTGGTTTAAGAAATAACATGCCACTATCCCTTGGGCTGTAATCATTTTAAATATTGGGATGCATCAACATGGTCACAGTGGCATAAAGACTTCTATTATTAATTAATATAGGGCACATATATATATATATATGTGTGTGTGTGTGTGTGTATACATATTTGATGAGTACCCTAAAATCAATTGAATAAGAATTATTCATATAGTAGTATAGATTATTAGGTTGAATTTGAAAAAGTTGTTCTTCTGTAAATGAAAACAAAAAAGGAAAACCAACATAAACAAATTAATTATTGAAGACATATTCAAGGATGCAAAAACTTGTTAAAAGATTTTGTTATCTTTCATAAACCACGATATCTGATAAAAAAGAATAAGAAAACTTGGGGAAGAGTAAGAACAACATAGAAATAATAAGTGAATATCAAAACAAGTATTTTAAAAACATAAGAAATAGTGGAGTTCTCAGTAATTTAATATAGGTTTGTTAAAAAGTAAATGTAAATTGTCTTATACCGAATAAATTATCCAGTTTTAACATTCAATTATTTATCAAAAGGAATACTAGAATTTGTTTCCTTCTCATTCTGATGCATGCATATTTTGGCTTATTTTCGTTTTATTGTTATTTGAATATTATAGTTGTGTTTTATATTTTTTTTTTATGCTATCCAGTGATGGAGAACATCTAATGATCATGGTAGGTAATGCTTGGGCATGACAAGCCTGGGTATGCTAGCTTATTGGGCCCTTTTGGTCTTTGGGCTGCTTGTTGCCTCTCGGGTTGGGTCTTGGCTACTCTCGGGTTGAGCCTTGGCTGCTTTGATTTTGAGCTGAAAATTTGGGATCTTATTGGTGCTAGCTCATTAATGCTTGAGATGATGTTTAGCTTATTATTTGGAGGAGTAATTGTATTATTTAGCTCATAAATTTGAAAATGTATTATTCTTTTTAGCTCATTATATAGAGTTGGAGCTTGCCTCTTCCCCTTCTTTGTGTCCCCTCGATTTTTTTCCCTGGTGCTGATCTCGTGGCTGGTTCTCCTCCCTTTGCTGGGTGCTGGTTCTGATCCCTTGTGTTGCCTTTTCGATTTCTTCCCTGGCTGCTTTCCCATGGCTGCCTCTACCCGTTTCTTGTGCTGTCTTTTCGGATGCTGTTTGTTGTTTCCTGCTAGCCTTCCTCTTCCCCTTACCCCTTACCTGATTGGTTCGGTTGGAGGTGGAAATTGGCTGTTTGGCTCCCCTTTTTCTCCTATAAATATGAGGTGATTTTGTCATGAGGAGGTTGTTGATTAACTTGAGAAAAGTTTCTAAAAATCTGAGGGTTTCTTCTCCTTTCTTGGAGAAGCTTGAGAGCTTATTCCAATTCTCTCTTCCTCTCTATTTCGTCTTGGCTTCTAATTTCTTCTTCTCTTCACAAGTTCCACTCCACTTGTATCCTTCTTCTTGAGCTATTGGGATGTGTTTGTTGGCTGATTTGGAAACATTTGCCGGAGGAGTTTGGTTGGATGTTGGACCTTGTTGCTGTGGTGGACCCTTGGTTTGCAAGCTCTAGCACTTATCATATTTTACCTACTTTTCATTCTATGTGAGGAAACTACTTGCCGGTTGTTCTGAGGATAGTATTTTTATTTTATAATTTTGTTTGTCTTGGTGTTTGTTTGGATGTCCGCAATCTAGATTGAATAGAGTTTGATTTCTATTGTCCAAGTGTTCTCCTATTTGACTTTTCTTTCTAGTTTGCCTGCATCACATTCACTTGCCATCTACTCGCATTATTAATAATAACATAGATCCCTAATTTAGATCATTTTGATAAAAAATCAGTAATCTTCAAACCCTCGGATCATTGAAAGATTCAAATTCATCTCCAACAATGTCTCATATTTTGTTGTCTTCTATATAATTTGAGAATTTTTTTTGATAGAGCATGAAAATTGGTATGCAATAAATTGAATCTTCAGCAGGTCATGAAATGTTTTTATTTCTCTTTGTTGATTGTATAATACGTGCCCAAAATTTTCTCACAACATGAGGAGGAACAAGTTGATCGAGCAATTTCTTGGTACTAGTTTGAAGTGGAGGTGTTAAAGCTTCTTAAATCATTCACAATCATTTTTGGATCCATCTGTTGACGAATATTTTCGCACCGACTCGACCCCGATCGAGCCCGACTAGGCTCGATCGCGCTCGATCGACTCGATCGATCGACGTCAAGACAAAATCGACTCAAATTAGACTCCAATTTAATTAAATTAAATCAATTTAATTAAATTAAAATTAAATCAAATCAATTCAAACGCCGTCGAGCCCAATTCGACGCAGTTCGACACATTTCGGCGTCGATCCGAGTTCAATTTCGCAAAATTAACTCAATCGAACAAAATCGGACCCAAATCGACTCAAATCGATTCGGGTCGAGCCCAATTCGGAGCCAATTTCAGCCCCAATTGATTGATTTGTTTATCACATAAAGATTCATAATTTCCAAATTAGTCTAGATGTCAAAAGATTTTTGATAGTTCAACATTCATTTTTTCTCACTTTTCTTTTAAAAAAAATGATCTAAACTGGTTTCCTCATTTTTGAAATTTACATCTTTTAGAGGATATGCTGAGGATTCTTTTGAAATCTTTCTCAACTCGAGCACCTTTTAAAATTTCAAGAAAATATAATAAGTTAACACATACTATTTTGCTACATAAAATAATTAAAAGTATAAAATATACAATATATTGAATTCAAAGAATGAGTTAAAGCAACATAGAGGTTTGTTATTTTTTATCCACTTATTTTATAAAATAACAAGAGTAATAGTCCAAAAGTTGATTCCTTATGATTTGTCTGTATTTCATGTATGTAAATTGCATTCTTCATAGATATAGTGAATATCTCATTTTATGATTTAGATGAAAACAACATTTATTTGTATCAACAACTCTAAACATGTTATACATGCTCAATAGAAGAATGAATATAATTGACATTGTTACCCCTAAAGATCATAAAACAATTTTTCTTGCATTTTCATCATCCTCATGATAAAATGACCATTTTTCACTAACCAGCATAGATTAAAGTGCATTTTTAAATTGTTTGAATCTTCTCAACATCACAGTCGATACAAAAAAATGAGTTTCAACCACAATTGACATTTAAAGTGTTGAGAAATCATGAAACATAGAAATTATTATAGAATGATTCATAGTAAAACTTTTTATCATGGGTATCTCCAACAATAACAATGATCCAATAATATTAATTCTAAGTGATCTCAATAGTTTTAGCATTCTTAGTTGACAAAATGTGTTTCAAATCAAGGTTAAATAAGATCCGCCTATGTTTACGACCGCATGGAGAAATACTTCCACTAGTCTAGAGATAATTACTAGGTTGCAATATTTGTGTCTCATTATTTACCAACATCTTCTGTCTCACTACTCTTTCTCTCTCATGATAATCCATCTTCCTCTTTTCTTTTCATACTTATTTATCCCTTCACCTCTTTAATTTTAAAAGTGAGTCCATCCCCATTTTCATTGCAGATAAAAAAATCTAAAAACCAAACAACCCAAAACAAGAGTCTAAGAGATAAAAGCAGATCCCTTATTATAATAATATAAAATATAATGATGTATCTTATCACCTTTCATGTTTCGAGCTTAGTCGTGTCCCACTTTCTTTGTTATAATCCTATCATAAGCTATCGTCTTTCATCATCAAATAATATCGTTGGCCTTCAACTAGAAAACATGGCTAGAAGTTTGAATTATGAACCTGTCGCTGGACTTGACCTTTTTGATGTAACCAACTCCAACTTTCACCTTATTGATGTACTAAGAAGACTACTGAGGAAACATCATCAACCACCAAAGGCTCTCCAACTAAGCCTCACTTTCTGCCAATCTCCATTGTTGTCTCAAGAGGCTGCTCAGTTGGAGCGACCACCTATTGCATCGGTGTTGGTATTTAAACTATCAACATTACGATGTCTAATCCAAAATGCTGAACAGTGAACACAAAAGGACCTGTCTCATGCAACACTTGTCTGCGAAGCTCCTTTAATAAATATATGAGGAGGCCAAAAGTTGGAGAGAATCAGAAATGTTCAACCAACCAGCTGATTAGATAATTAATATTCTAGATTTGATCATAAATATAAGAGCAAACAAGTTATATAGAATCAATAGGGAAATTTATGAGAAAAATATTTCCACGTTATAAAAATCTCTCACATTTGTAGTTCATTTTTTTATGCATAAACCTGAGAGAGTTATCATCTTTTTTGAAGTACATTGATGCAGACAACTAGATAAAAAAACCAAAAGGGAGAACACAAGGGCTAGTAGAATTTTTCTTAAATTCAACTTAAGCAGGCAAACACCACAGACCGACTTGAAACAAACAAAAGTTAGACAAAAATGAAACTAAATTAAAAATAAAACAATCTACCCTCA